GTAAAATTTCTTGTTCTGTAGAGCATATTGGACATGATTGATTAAATTAGTTTCTGACAGGTAAAATAATTTGTTTGTACCAATATTCTTTTAATAATTCTGTGTTTATACTCTATCAGTCGTGTCTCTTGTGATTGTCTAAATATTAATATATATACACATGTATATACTTCTTGCTATTTTTAATCTTGTCAGATAGTCAGATGGATCAATATTTAGTAATATTTAGTCACTGGTTGTTTTCCTGTCTTTCCTATCGAGTACTCGGGTACTTGATCAATATTGAAGAAAAAATTAAACCTATCCATCACCAGGATCGTATATTGTTATTACGGGATCTATTCATTCTTCTCATTCTTTCTTTACAATTATCTATTTTATTAAATATTGCCATCGTCGAAACCCACGGGTTTTCTGTAACGGAGAGAAAACCCGTGGGTTCCGACGATGAGAGATTGCCTCCCGTTTTAAAGGAAATTCATCTTCACATAGTTGACATTTTTACGGACTAAGAATTGACGTTTCATTAAAAAAAGTAAGACTTAAGAGGATTGCTCAAGGCGATTTTCCTACTAACTGATTTAATAGAGACATATAGGATATTCAATGTTTTGTGGTTATGGATTTTATTTCACGATTGTGACAAGATTTATATATATACACACATATATATATATAATATATATATATTCACGAGTGTAAAGAAGAAATATTGCATGGTTTTATTTTTTCAAGTACTTGATCGTGTAACACCAGTGAAAAAAAAAATAAATGAATTGTCCTTGATCATCTTGAAAATAAATAATCTATCCTTGACTGGCAAGAAAATAAATAATATGACTCGAAGGCCAGTCCCGCGAACCTTACCCAAGTCTTACAAATCGATGGTTTCAGATGTGTACCAATAAATGATCATACTGAAGGAGATATCTGTGATCATTGATATCATAGATGAAATATCATTTTATGATAGTATTTGCACTTTCCAAGGGCTATCTACTTATGAACACTATCAATTGTACATACCGGAGTTAAACGTTCAAATAGCACCAATTAAATATTTAAAAGCATTAAATTAACTCAAAAATCAATGTTCTTTTTTAAAATATTAAATTTAACGTTAATTTAAAAATACTAATTGAAATAAGCGTTGAAAGCGTCACACACATAGACCCCCCCCCCCCCCCCCCCAATTTTCTCTAGTTCTTTTGTGTGGGTGGGTGTGGGGGTTGCACAAATTCATTGCTAAAAATTTTAAACAATGATCGTTTCCGTTCGTTTGTTCAGCTGCATTAATTGCTAATTTTGCAATTTTCATTTTACAGACGAATACAGGTAATTTTAGGAACCTGTTGAAGTGAATAGAAGACCCCCCCCCCCCTTGTGCACACACAGTCACCGAGTTTCGAAATGGGGTGCGGGGAGGTTTTTTCCCTCTCCTGAGCCAGATTTTTTTATGTGTACCATCTTGGTTAGCCGTGGTATCTTCTAGAAGTCTATTTTCGAAAATAAAGTAAACAAACTTTAGTAGCATTACATTAAACGGATGAATAATGAATGTATTTCTTTCAAAAAGTAATATTTTAAGATTATTTAACAGAGTGTGTGATCGAACACAACGCATCCATGGCCTAAGTACAAATCTTTGACGTATAATATATATGACAGATTTGAAAGAGAGTGTAGGTGGCTTGTATACCCATAAATTCCATCAAATTTACTGTTCATTCTAGGCCATGTTGGTTTTCTCCAACACCCCTTTTTTTGCAGAAATAATGTGTCACATTTTTTTTCAATACTTCGTTTCTTTTTTTTTTCTTCTTTTTTTAAGAAAGGAACAAATCTACACTTGATGAGAATTGACTGAATTAAAAACAAAACAAGACGTTTTGACATTTTATTTACTCTCCATACAAACACAAGAATGAGAAAATCAATACCAAATTTTTACCATCTTACAAAAATGATATCATTTTCATAAATTATCCATGTTTGATCTGTAACAGAGTCAACAACATTGTGACCTAGGGTTTTCTTTCTCAGTACTAAATAAAACGGCAACATTTTAAAAATACACGTGTATCTTCATTTTAGCCTAACAAGATTCTTTCTTTATATCAAGTCAAGAAAAACAACTCTTCCATTCTTTAAACGTAAGTAAATAACAGGGACTTTTCTGTTTCTGCACTAGTTTGCTTCCAAAGAAGATTCCAGAGAAAATAAATCTTAAAAATAATAAATAAAATAATAAAGTGTGCATATATTATAATTATAAACATCTACATGTTGCTCAAAATGAAAATAGCTTTGTTAATTTTCTAATGAAATAGAAAATCAAGAGGCAGTACATGTATATTTGCAGAAAGATGCGACGGACCAGACAAGGGTTCAAAACTGGACCCCCTGAATAACTAGTCCGGTGCTTTACCAACTGAGCTATCATGTCACCATGGATGGAACCTGCTTGACCGCCATATTCCTCCCTCCTTATAGGTTTCCGCCCCCAACCCATGCTCTTTACTTGTCACATCCTGGTCACGGCACCCAACTGTAACAAGAAGGATGCCACGGACCAGACCAGGCTTCAAACCTGAGCCCCCCCTCCCCCCGAATCACTTGTCAGGAGCTCTACCAACAGAGCTATTTGGTCACCGGCGATCAAATCTGCCTAATCTCCACAGATATTTATCAACAAGTACATGTATGTGCATTCCATCTAACATGTTAAGGAGCTCTTTTTCAGTCCCCCCTTCGAAAATGGAACCTCTTATCATATATGTATATTTCAAAATAATTCCATTTCATTGCAGTCTAGCTTATCTTATGGATAAAAGATAGATTCTGAAAATCTCATGTTTAAATCAGCTTCATTATTCTAATTAATGTATTGGTCACTACCTCTATAGCTAATAAAATCAAATTGAATAATTTTACACAAAATACATGTATTATAAGTAAATACCTATTTGAAAGACAATGATTCTTATAAAGAAAACCCGGAACAATAAAAAAAAAAGGCATTAAAACTCTTCAATAAACAAGAACATTTCCATCAAATATGGATATTATGGGACTGAGGTTTAAAAAAATCTTACAAAAGGAAGTTGTTCTGGACAGCACCAATAGGAAACAAATGATGACTATTTGAGACTTATATGTTAAACATTGGTAAAGGAAGCTTACAAAAAAAAAAAAAAAAAAAAAAAAAAAAAAAAATACCGGTAATCTAAAGTAACACCAAATAGCACAATAGGAATTGATGAGGAAAAAAGTTCTTCCAAGTTTGGAGTAATGCCAAATACAGCTATAGAAATTATGCGGAATAAAAATATATTTGTATGAAAGACAATTATACTTATTATATAGAGAACCCAAAGCAATTAAAAATGGTATTGAAAAAGTGACGTAAATTTAATATTAAAATTGTTTTTGGTATGTAAATGTAAAAAAAGAGAGCCAACAAAAGGAAAATTATCATGAAAGCATCAACAGGAAAGAAATAATTCTCTGAATCTTTCAAGTAAAATCTTTCATAGATTTGGATGATAAAAAAGGAAAATAAACTGGGTAGCACCAAAATGCAAGGAAAAACTTCAAAATACTGAAAACATACTTTTTTGCACAGGGTCATAATTCCACAGAATCTCAGTTTCTATTCAAACTGTGGAGAGAAAATTATGCTGATTACTTCAATTTTAAATGCGCTTTAAGTAAGCTGTGACAAATTTCTGCAGAAAATTTGTGACCGCATACATACATGTAGCTAAATTAATCCAATGTGGAAAAAAGTACATATGCAATACATACACTATTTAAATTTTTTAAAGCATCACTGCGCAACAAATTTGATTCCGTAAGAAACTTTGCTTCATAGTTTGGAGTTCCATAAATGAATAACAAAGAAAAGAAATTAGGTTATTTTCAAACTGAATGTTTTGAATAACACATAAGTATCATGAAAAAGGGTTATTTTGCGTAAATATACTTCACAGACAAGACAGCATTTCTCCTGATTTTCATTTCTTTGTGGTCATCCATAGAATACAATCAATTAATCTAATTAAACAAAGCATTAAAAAAAACAATTTAGCAGAAAAGCAATAAAACCATCTTTGAGTCTTGTTCAACAATTATAAATAACAAAAAAGCATACAAGCACTGTATGATGAATATAAGACATATTGTGATCAATCATATGAAAGTTAATTTACAATATAGAAAAAAAAATATCAAAAGAACTTGATGAATAAATCCATAATATTTTTTGGTGAAAATTATATATTTTTTGTAAAAATTCCACTTTCATTTATATATTTATTTATTTATTTGCTAATAAAATGTTGAACATTTTGCTACTATATGGACTACTCTAATTTAATCCAGTGAATTGGTGCATTCTACAAATATCAAGAATACGAGCAGTTTCTTGAAAAGCAAAGTACTGAGTATGCAAGAATAAATACATAAAAAAATCACATAGCAGATTTCTGAGACTCGATCCATTTACAAATAAGAAGTTACATATAAGGTGCTGCCATGGCAACAAACATAAAAGGAAAAATTCAAAATGGTGAGATTCTATCATTGTATAAACAAACACATATACATCAATTAAAAGCTATTTATAAGGAAATTAATCTCTGTGCAGAAACATTTTTTCTCAGATTGGTTAAAAATTATATAATTGTTCAGGAAAAACACATTTTATTACTCCTGTAACATGTAACACACAATCAAACTGAAACCAAAGTCCAAATAAGACTATACAAACTGTATAACCAATATGTTTCATTACGCAATTAAAAAATGCACTGTGATCAATTATGCATTGTTGAATTCAATGTCAAAAAATCATTGAATTTCTATTTAATAGCCAAATAAACTGATTAAAATTATACATTGAAACCAGGGAGTTTCTGTTCTAACTATTCAATACATAGATGATATCATAAAATTTAAAGTAATTAAATGAAAATCTATAATATGTATACAGCATAAATGGAAATGAAATATTTAAGGCAGAATCATTACATACATACAGAATGTTGTTGTTTCAAAAAAATATATATAATTAGACATAATATGTTATGCCACAATAAAAAATACTTCCCAATTAACAACCTGATAGCAGCAATGTACAAAAATAATTTTTTGTTATTTGTTTGACAATGCAAAAAAAATGCTTCTCCAAAAAGTCAAAAGAAATGATTTTCACTGTTTGTTAACAATATGTTGCTAACCCTTCTAAACCTTATGAAGGAATAAAAATGTTTAAATGTAAGTTATATTTCGCATTGTATTAATTAAGTTATTGAATTTACCATCCTACATATCATATATTTAAAGGGCTCTAAAGAAATAAAAGGTGGATAATTTTGCCTCGGGCGAAACATTAACAAAAAGGAACAAGAAAGAAAATTGTTACAGGAAAATTTCTTCAAATGTCAGTGAATGAAGAAAATGAGTCTTAATGATAACCTGAAAGAACATATACTATAGGTAATCAACCCTAAGTATATATGTATATAAAGTGCGAATAAGGGTAGGCAGCGCAGTGGACCTTGTTCTTTAATTTGTCACATACATCATTAATCACATCTTCTCTGATTTAGTCCCGTACAATAGCAGAGTCGGATATATTTATTACAATTTTTTTTTATAAAACCTACTTTCTGTAAACGACATAAATAACAATCATATATAAACCAATGATCTACTGTAATACTAACATTCAGGTTTAGAATCTTTCGTATACATACACCCCCATCCTTTTATCACAGGTTGCACACATATCTATTTTTGGCCACTCTATGTATGTATCTATTTCAATCAGAATTACATTTGAAAAACAACATTCATACAAACACATTTATAATCACTCTGTGAAAAAAGTGGCTTTAAAAAGATCCATACAAGCATGTGAACTTACAAATCACTAGTAAGCAATAAATTTATAAAATTACTAAGAAGCAAGTCCCCCAAAAATATTCTTCAAAAAATCTTGAAAGACAAGTTGATTCATAAGAAGGTTGATGACTTCCCTCCCAGAACAAAAAGAGTGATTAATATGAGGTCTATTTCTGGCAGAGCAATCTAAAATACTGGTAGGATGATACAAATTACATTTGATTCCTGCTTCTAGTGACCAGCAGTGATAGAGCTTAAAGTACAAAGTTCAAACTGCATGCAGTTCATTTTTCATCTGTTCTTAAACCCAAGATCAGCTAAAAAGCAGTTCTTATAAGTTACATCTTGATCTTTCTTTGACATAACAAAATAGCAGCATAATTGCTCAGCACCATGACAAAAAATGTTTCAATCTACATAAGACAACAAAAAGTGAAAAACCCATGGTCCACAATGCTCACCTGAGTCATGTTTCTTGCCTACAAAAATTTGCAATGTTACCTGTAACTAAATGCAATATTTATCATAATATACTGAATGTTTTATACAAATACATATAATGGTGAACCCCACACATAAATTCCATGCAGTCAACATTTTTTTTTCAATATCACCTGTCATCAAGCAATGTTGATTGTTGCTATAATGTTCCATCATGCTGGAGGGTGTAGTTTCATCATTCAAAAGGTAATAGTACTTTTTAACAAGTGTTTCTCAACAAATCAGATTCAACAAATTAACATGAAAGTATAATATCAAGAATAGAACATAGCAAGTCAACATTACATGACAACAGGTGATATTCCCCTCAAAAATGTTGACTGCTCATAATCTATGCATGCTCTGTTCATCATTATTTGTATTTTTATAATAAAAAACATTTAATATTATATAATAAAAATACTGCATGTAGCTGAGGGTAACATTTAAAATTTTAACCCCAAGAAAACCATTGTCAAAATCAAAATGCACGATGTTACCATCGATTGGGATATGCTTAATATACATATAAATTTGATAAAGCTATATTGATGAGCAGATTTTACAACACATTTCAAAATGCATGTTTCTGTAAAACTCTGATCCCTCTGCAGCCTTGAATCTCTGTTACATGACCATGATGTGGGTACTTGCATATCAATTTCATTATTTGCAGTCCTGCTGTTTGTGAGATTTTTTAAGTTTATTCCAATAAATTCCAAAGTATAACTTTGACCCCCTGCTGTGGCCACAGCTGCCCCACCCAAGTAACTGAAGCAATAATCTACATTACACTGGGATGCTTGCAAATTTTGACTAATTGAATCCTTTCATTTTTTGAGAGGAAGAAAATTGTTACTGCATATTCATTTGCATAAGTTTTGACACTATTGTGCCCCATACTAGTCCCAGTGAGCTATGATTTGACCAGTTTGATTCAACGTCAGATGGGGATGACTGCAAATCACTTAAATTTGTCATTTTGTTTTGGGGTAAGACTTTAACATGTACGTATGTTTCTAAGTATTTTGACTTAGTGGCCCTATCCTAGCCCAAGGACCTTAATTTGAATAAATTTAAATTTAAACTATCACCTTAATGTGATGATTGAGGTCCTGCTTCAATGGAGGATTTTAAAGATTGTTATTACATGTATATATGCCATTGCAAAATCACTAACCCCTATTAAAGCCCTGCCCCCCAGCATCAAGAGCCAATCTACATTTCATCAAATTGCTTTCATATTGATTTGACTAACCATGGTCCATGGTACAACTGTTCCTAGTGAGAATTCTCTATATTCAAATGTAAAAGAAGCATTTTGTTTTAACAAAATGGTCCCAGACCTAAGAACTAATATACATTTCGTGAAAATGCTGTTGTAGATGTTCTGTTGCAAGTTTGGCATAAAATGACTACATATTCTGGGGAAGACAAAGAAAATGTGAAAATTTACACTTGACATACATAGACATTGGTGCAAAAGCTGGTCAGCCTTTGATCAGAAAAGCTAAAAAAAATTTCTTAAAAGATTCTACCATATACTGTCACGGTAAACTGAAAACCTTGTGAAATAGTTCATGTACACAACTTTTCTATAAAACTGGGAAGCATGTAGGGCACAATTCTTACATCTTATATTCTTTACTTATGTGTATTAACAATATTAAGGGTGACAAGGAAATTCCTGGGATTCACAAATGTTTAAGCTGTAAAAGCATATCTGATTCCTCCGTAGCAATGCGACTTGGAATTGAATCATTTGAATCTAAGTCATCGTCAAAGTCAGTTTGAACAGCTCCATGCCTTTTTATCACATAAGGGCTTGGAAACACATCTTGCTTTTGTGAGCAAAGGGACATATTTTCAACTTCATCAATGTATGCATGATCCTGCAAAATATCCCCCATTTCTGCCAACTCTTTAGCACTGATCTGGGGTGTGTCCACAGGCATTGTGTTGTGAAAACGAGAGAAGTCAATTTGATACTGTCCGTTCTCTTTTTGAAATGTAACCAATCGTTCAAACCTGTGTCCCCAAAGGATTTCTCCAGGGAGGTATGAACTTCTAGCTTGGGTGGTCATTCCAGTAGATTCAACAATGCCCTCAAGAATGATAATCAACTCAAACTGTTCTCGATGCAGATCCTCGGGAGACATTTCCCAAAATGGACTATTTTCATTGATCCTGTGACTAATGATCACTGGCCATACTAAAAAAAGCCGATCACTGCCATCCTCAAAACCTAAGTTAACATCAAACTGAAAGAGAGGCAAGACCTCTCCTTCCTTAGTTATTTTCTTTTTGATCACTACAGCTCTGACATGAGCTTCCACAATGTGAGATTTTCGCATATCACCCACTCTTACAAGCAAACACAATTCTCCATCTTGTTTGCAAATGCATGCATTTTTGCTAAACATTAATGTTTCTGCTCTCTTTTTTGGTCGAGAAAGCTTTGCAAATACAATCCCAGTCATCATAGCTTGGCATATGACCCCAAAACATGATTGAATCATCATTACAGTAATGGCCTCTGGACATTCCTCTGTTGTGTGTCTGGAACCATATCCTATAGTATGTTGTGTCTCAATCGAAAACAGCAATGCTGATGTGAAGGAATGCATTTCTTTCACACAGGGTACATGTTGTGGGTTTTTTAGTTGTTCTTGTTCTAGGTCTCCATGTGAAAAACAGATCAACCACCAAATCACTGCAAATATGAGCCAGCTCAAAATAAAAGCCAAAGCAAAGAGGAGCAAATTGTATCTCCATTTGATATCAACTAAAGTTGTAAAAATATCTGCGAGAAATCGTCGACGACGTTTTCGTATATTTGTTTGTGTTATGTTCACCTCACCATTTTTGTACACAAGGCGACGTCGCATGCGCTTCGAGTAATGCCGATCTGCCCGTCTGCTAAGTGTAGGTCCATTAGGAAGGGCGGGTGCACAACGAGTCATAAACTCCGAGAAAGAATCATTGGAGGCTGTTTTTACATTATGCTTGCCATTGTCCAGTAAATCCGGTGATTCGTCAGGCTGCAGAACATTTGATGTTTCTGAGCTGATCTGTCCATATCCTGTTTCCATGACAACTGTTTGCATAAGTTTGAAAATGGTAGACAAAGCTTTGGCAATGCCGAACTCCTTGTTTTTGCTGGTCTGCTCCACTTTTGCTGATTTTCACTACAGTCAGGAAACTGCTACAGCAACAATTAAAACAGTCATCTGAAAAATGTAAAAAATATCAGAATATATACACAGCAAAATTCATAACAATTAATCGCATCCACAACTAAAGTAATACTCAAACCAAAGCCACATACTATTTATATGTCTATAATTCATAACATCCAGTGAATATAGCTTTATTTTGCATCTCCAGGGGACAAAAATGGCTTTATTGCACCCAGAAATACACTATTCAAGTTAAATATAACCACTAAATAATTTATAGTGTAACATCTAAAACATCACCATCCATCTTAACTGTTCATTGATTTAATTTGTACTCTGTACACCATGTACATGTAGGTGTATCAAGTACTTTGATTATTAAAGCTTAAGTTTTAATCTAAATTCATAGTTGAAAACACTTGAGTATGATTTAATAATCGATGACAATAGAGATCATTTTGATAGGTATTGTTATACTTTTCTCCCATTATAAAACACTACATGTACTTATAATGGATAATTCATGAAAGTGGCAAATTTTTAAATTTAAAAATGTCCCACGTTTTTCTGAAGGTATTGAATAACCTTAGAGTATCAGATATTAGTTTTAAAGTGTAATCAATTAAAATATTCATTATGTATTAAGTATTTGTGATCATGTTCTGTTCAAGCATTGCAACAATTTATGATTTTAAATTTTGGGATCCTCAAAATCTCCCATCTAAAGCTTAAATACTGAGATTACAAACTTCTAGCATTGTGAAACATTATATATTTTTCTCACAGTCCATAAATATACTGAATTCACAATGCCAGGGTTTATTGTTTTCCCTCATATATACTGTCTGTGAAATAAGTGGAGGATTTGAGGGACAGACATATAACATGTCTCTTGTTGTACAGAAAACCAAGCTAAGTTTTTATGAGTTTATAAACCTTCCAATAAATCTCATCAAAGACTAGGGGCGTGATAGATATATAGACAGGCTGTTGTTAAAGCCACTGAAATTCTGTAGGTCATTCTTATTCACTACAATTAATAGATGCTTAGCAGCTACATCTCACTCTTCTAAACATACACAAGAGTTGAAGTATTGATTTTACAAACTAGTGGTTTTAATCTATAATATTGATTTACTGAATTATTGAACTTTTTGTAAATATGGGCCACTATAAGTTTGGATTACAAGTTCATTGCAGGGTTGAACTAGAATATTTAATTTTTTTTTAACCTGAAAAAAATTCTTCCTCCTACATAATATGAACTTCACAGAAAATTTGTTTGGTTTTTTGCCTCAAAATCACAAAACGCAGGGGGTAAATATTGTGGTTTTTTTCGTAGGAAGATCACATAGAATTCCAACACACCATCAAATACTTAATACAACTGTGCAGAGATTAATTATCCAAGGACAGTCGAGATTGACTTATAGCTGACAGTTAACCTAAATGTGTTTACCCTAGAGTATTCTTAATCAATTTTGATAAAGACTGCATCATTCTCCCATTGACAAAGAATGCCTGGTGAATAGCTGGGCAGGTATTGCATCATTCTTGGCTTCAACAGAAATAATGCAAAATGATTGTCAGAAAAAAGACTACAAAGCAGATGATTTCTAGAGGTTACAGATCAAGGAAGAAACATAGAAGAGAACCGTAATTAAGGCTCTAAAGCTTTGACAGTCTTAGTAAATTGTGTATTGATATTCAGTGTAACTGGCCATGCTCAATCAATTCTGCTTAGTGCTGAACAGGTAACAAAGGTTACACAAAAACATTTTTATCTAGAACATTCACAACTATTTTGTTTTCTGAAAAAAAAAAAAATCAATAACATGTCTATTTTCATGATCATGATGATATACACCAACAAACAGGTCAATTCATGGTAAAATTCCATGTTAAGTCCCCTGGGCAGTTAGAGTCTCGTGACCAAAAAGAAAAAAAAACCTTATTATTAAACATTGTAACAAATGATTCTTACCTGTGGCAGCATCATTTGGAACACCTGAATGTACTGACAGTCATAAGGAATTAAAATGATGTACACACTTTTTCATCTCTTTTACTCTCTGGTTAACCAACAGAATGCTTTCCTCCCGATTTTTAAATTTTTTTTCCCTACATGTTTATCTTAAATTATCAATAACTCAATTACATAAAGATGTAGGAAATGTTAATTTTTGGAGAATTAAACAATACAGTTGGTTTATTTACATCCCGTGTTGCATATACACATTTAAATACACTTTCACAGCAAGTAAACACAGAGAGAGAAAGAGGCATAAAGTGCTACTCACTAGGCAATATCCCTAAAGATAACACGCTCAAGCGCAACAAATAAAAACATCAATTTCAAAGAGCTGAAATCTACGTACCTATTGTCTTCAGGTTTCTACAGTATGCTGAAAACTAGCTGTTTTTTTTTAAATGATTTTTGACAAAGTAAGGCATCAAAATTTTGGGATTTATGAGTGTTTTTATCATTCAAAAATGAACAGTAATATAAAAAAATAATAAAATAAATAAAATTTCCATATCATTTTTAAAAAAAATTCTTGATGATAAATAATTTTTCACTAGATACATGAAACAAGTCAATTTGCAATATAATATTGAAATTAAAAATATGTGCCCTGAAAGTACACAAATTTCATTTATATGAGCTGAACAACAATTTTGACCATTCTGGTCAATGTTTGATGCTCATAATATGTCATATTATGACATATATTTATAATGTTAGACATATGTAACATCATTATTACATCAACACATATCATTCATAACATTCTATCAATACAATTCTTAGTTGCACATTAACAGTATTTTATAGCATCATATTTCTTCTTTTACATGGGTTGAATTTATATTATTTGAGCACTACTTCAATAGAGGTAAACGACCCATTATATTCCTACCTGTAATGCTTTTAATGCATGTATAAATATTGATCACTTTCAATATACATGTAACTTACCAGTATTTGTGCATGTATTCTGAGGCACTTACCTAAACACAGAGTGATATCATAATCAAAGTTTGCATCAAAACAAAGTGATGCCTTTAAAGATTTCTGCTTCAGACTTATCAATTTATTTAATCTATGGAAAACCACAAACAAAATATTCTTATGAAAACTAAATCTGTTTTTTTCTGCAGTTTAAATGCAAAGATACTCAAGTTTAAGCATGTTTTATACATCAGTGGTAAGGTATTATGTTGTTTACTTTCTTTTGAATCCAAATACAGTACATATATTTTGAAATAAACAATTAAACACTGATTTATGTACACTACAACAATGCCCTGGGTCACAATGCTTACCTGTAAATGTAAAAGAATAAATATCCACACCTAGTGCACTAGCCTGGGTTAGTATTCCTAGGTCAATTTATACATCACTGCTTTATAGTCAGTTTATAGCCAGACCAAACATCAGTCATTATCACTGAATAAAATGAACTGCCCTTATTTGCAAATACAAAAATCAACTCAACAAACATTTGTGCATGCTTACTAGATGTGTCATGATATGGCTAAATGTATCGTAATATGTCATGTTTGGACTGTATCATGATACACGGTATGTATCAAGAAAAACCTTTTATAATTTTTTAAAAATAATTTGTGTGTTTCTGTTCTGAAATAAGAAATTCTCAGTCAAAATGTGAAAGGATAAACATGAAAAATTAATTCAATGCATTTTATTTTTAACTATTAGGCTCTCAAGACTGAGCATAATAAAAAAAAACAGCATATCTTTATAAAGAAAATCACTTTTATTTGGTTTAAAAAGAAAAATAACAAATTGCTTAGATTGTTATATTATTGTGATACACAGGTGTACAATACAGTACAATTTTTTCTGTAATCTGTATTGTGGTATTCCAGAATATTGGTATATCTTTACACTCTTAATGCTTACCAATTAAGTTAGATATTGAACTTTGGCATTATAATAATGTAAGTATATACATATAAGTATAAAGTATGTTTATCACTGCTTATAATAGATGACTTTCCAATTTTTAGTTAACTTTCTTTTGTGAGTGTAATAATCATTTTTTCTCACTGTATCATTTGTAACTTACCTGTAAATATTTTACTTATTAAACTGTAAATATTTTAAATCTTCAAACACTGATGGGCAATTTTTTTACTATATTCCTTTACTAGCATATTAACCTAGACAATATAATGAATATCCACATATAGATTTCCATTTGCTAGACACTCCCATGTAAAGTTGGTATTAAATGTAACTAATGTTATAGAAGGGAAACAGTAATATACACCAGCTGACCCCAGACTGACTCTGCAAAGGGAAATATTTATAACTTTTGTGTAAAAGTGAATGTCACCTTTAATTGCCATAGAATTTCAGAGACCCAAACCTTTACTACTGTTTGATTACAAAGATTCCTGAAATAAAATTCCCTCTACAATTATTTTTATGATGGCAATAAAAACATAAAGATACAATACATTGTACTATAGTTATCAAGTGTTCAAACATGTGACAAAATTAAGGCCATTCTAGTATTCTTATATTTTTGGCATCAGTTATATTCAAAGTGTAAACAATAAAGATTTTACATACAAGCAGCCGCCAAAATAGTTTGTTTGTGTTTATGACAATAACATCATAAATTCCTTTTTAGCACTTAAATTCAGTTTGCTAATAGGGATGGACTTTATATTATAATTTGAAAATTAATATATTCTGAGTCTGGGAGTCTATTGTGACCTGCATGTTCATATTGATCACTGTGATGTGATTATAAGCAGTATCATTCCTTTTGCTTTGGTTTGTTTGGTTTGTTTGTTTGTTTGTTTTCTTTGTTTTTTTTAGCTAAACTACATCATATAACACACAATTTACTGTGATATAAACCTGTATAAATGCCTTTAAGTTGTATAGTTAAGCTTGTAGCATATGGCTTAGACATCATATGTTATTCATATTTCTCTGAATTTTAATACAATAGTTGTATAGTTCAAGTGGGATTAGGGTCGGATACCGTTAAGGATGAAATGGTACGATACCATACCGGTATTTTTGAAATGATATGGTATTTTTAACGATACGGTACTATGCATTGATGAATAAGAAAGAGGGTTAATTTTATAACAAATGTGCTTTTACCATTCACTAACCTTTCAATGATATAATCTAAAATGAGTTTATAAACTTTGTTCCATGCTTTTAAGATATAAAAATAGATAAAAATAGATATTCCTAATATTCAAATTACAAATATTTCATTTCAACCTTTTGATAATGATCAACAAAACAAATCAATCGAATCCCAAACAAATTAATTTGCACAAATCGGCTGACTGCTTCACCCGGTTGCCAGGACCCCGTTTGTTTGGTCGCACTAAATGATGAAACATTAGATAATGGATAGATCACATTTTTTGCAACATTTTGCCTATTTAATTTACATTTATTATCAGTTTTTATTTGTAAAATTAAAATAAGATTCATGTGAATGTATTTTGATTTTTTTTTTAAAAATATACGTATTGATTTACCTCGAATATCGGCAGTCGAAAGCAAGTATCGTTCTAAGAATCCATTTCATTACATGTAGTTAGCCTACCCTTTCAGTGAGCGGAGAATTCGATTTAAGCAAGTTTGGAATGCTTTTTTTAAAAAAATCAAATTGAATGTATTAAAATGTTTTAAAGATTAAGAAGTACCGTTATTAGTACCGGTATTAAATGAAATGGTATTTTACCGGTATTTTTGAAGTAACTATTCGGTACGGTATTGGTACCGCGTACCGGTATCCAACCCTAAGTGGGATATTTACAGGATCAGATACAGTTATTGACAAAAACTAAATAAGATACCATCAATGTACTTTGACATCCTACACATAATATTAAGTTTGCTTAATGTACAAAAATGGAAACTAGTTTCAAAATTGTAAATTAAATACAGTTTTACAACCAAGTCTGAACAAACTTGAAATACTTCTATTTAAAACCAAAATCCAAAGTATTTTTAACAACTATGATTTGAATGTACTAATACATTTCCCTGACTTGTTTACCGATTATGCTTATGAAACCTTTTAATTAACTATATCCTCGAGTGCCCAGTAGTCGTTTGCTTAAGAGAGTAATATCATAATCATGACCTGTTCTACTTTTATGACATTCTCTATTGAGAAGTTGATGGCTCGTTTAATCAGTTAATACTCCCCCTCAGGGAGGGGGAGTAATAAACGAGCCATTAACTTCTCAATAGAGAATACTGTTACGAGAGAGTTGTGTTATTCACAATAACCAGGTGTCACGTCACATTCATGTTATTTTTATTTCTTTTCATTTATTATCATTTTTAATGTTTTGTTTTGTTTGATTGCAACAGGGACCTATATAGCAACTAGTTATAGTTATTGGTCCCTGGTTGCAAGAACCAATTTTCAAAGACTTCATAGTAACTTGGTGCTGATGTGCCATGTACAGTTATGACAATCGAAAGCTCTATAAATTTTGTTGAACTTGAGGTAATTTTAGAACAACAATTAACTTTCGACAACAGAATGGATTAAATAAAAAGACAATCTACTTACTGTATATTTTTATAGTTGGAGATCATTCGTAGACTGGTACCCTGACATTGGTTAACGGGCGTAATTCCTAGCGGCAGCGACTGGAATCAAGGGCAGAGAACCAGTGCTAGATCATTCGATGATGATTCTCTGTTGTTTGTCAGTTCTTCCTTAAATAATTCGTACTGTATTACAGAGTAAGTCGTTCAATTGAACGACTGGTTTTATAAACACATTATCATAAGACGATATGAAAAACATATATTTTAATTATTTAACACTCACTTAGTGAGAAAAAAAACTTTTTTTGCATGTTATGTGTCTGACATCACAACATCTGTATAAACAACCATGAATTATGCATGGGCCATTGGCTCACACTGAGCGTAATGCAGCCCTAGATTAAACCAACAAATAAACATCAAATCAATGGCTTTTACCCTATGCATTTCTTCCCATAACCTAAAAATTTGATCAATAAATGTTAATTCTTGTCTTGCGAGTTTCTCTTTTTTCCTACATGTACATATTTTTTTCTCAGTTCTGCTTTGATACACTCATCGCTCATCAGTGATAATATTGGCTTGAAGATCACTGTTAAAGTGCATGTGATTTGCATTTTTAGAATTTTATTTACTGTAAAAATGTGCTAATATGATAATTCTGCATGTAACTTAATTAAAGCTTCACGATCAATGAGACGTTGAA